AGACTGACTGGCTATTTGTTGGAGCCCACCGGGCACGCCCGCACCGGCTCAGGCTCTCCACACGGGCAGCAATCAGAAGATTTAGCAGAAGACCTGGGCGGAACTGTGCGTGAGCCCTTTAAAGTCTGAGATGAGTCCTGCCTCTCAGGATGGGCTTGTCCAATGAGAAAGGCTGAATTTCCAAGCGGGAGGTTGGAAATAGTGGGGAGTTTTATGACCCTTTGTTTGAGAGCATGGTAATTTGCATATGGAACTGGATTGGATGTTGATATGAAGACTACTAAAGATTTTTAGAACACTAATATGTTGCATAAATATCAACATATAATATAAATGCTCATTTAGATCATCAGAAGACAAATTCAAAGAGATCAAACATGGTATCGGTGGGGTTATATTAACTAGTGATCTATCATAACACACACACAAAACAGTATACAATTCAAAAGACAATATACCAGAACAGTAATAGTATACACAATGTCCTGAGGAGATGTGTGTTCATTCACAGAAAGGTTTTTCCATGAATTAATTAGAGAAGAGTCCAGAGAGACAAGAGTCTTTCCTAAGGGTAAATTAATTGAGAGTTGCTCTGCCCGCATTCCTTTGAGCAATAAAACCAGTGCTATCAGCCTAATTGGCTAACGCCTTTTTAAATCGTTAGCCGCATTTCGGGGGAAGGGTCCATTGAGCCCTCATAGTTGCCTTGTTGACTGAGGGGTGTTATGGAGTATTTGTTAACTATTACAAAGGACCTGGAGGACAACCAGGAGAGACTGGTGGCAGCAGGATAGACTGCTCCGGGAGAGGCGGGGGGGGAACCCTGTCCCCGATCCAGACCACTAAGAGGGAGAAGAAAGATCTGCACGTCATATGGCTAGACCTAGCCAATGCCTATGGGTCAGTGCCACACCTGCTCATAGCCTACGCTTTGGAATTCTTCTACATCCCAGACAACATCAGGACCATGATCATGAACTACTACCAGGACATGCACATGTGCTTTGCACTGAAGAAAGTCACCACTGGTTGGCAACAACTGGAAGTAGGGATCGCAATGGGATGCTCCATTTCTCCCATCCTCTTCGTGGCAGCGTTTGAGGTCATCCTGATCGGGGCAAGGCAGGTGGTGGGTGGGGTCAGGCTGCCTGCAGGTCAGAGGCTCCCGCCCCTAAGGAGCTATATGGACGACATCATCTGCCTGCTACGAACCGCTCCATGTACAACCAGGCTGCTTAAGAGGCTGGATGAGCTGATCACCTGGGCCAGAATGAAGTTCAAGCCGCAGAAGTCAAGGCGCCCCTCATTGCGAAAGGGGGAGAGAAATGACAGAGTCACCTTCACCATCAGCGGGGAAGACATCCCCCGCATCGTGGATCAGCCCATCCGAAGTCTGGGAAGATTTTATACATCTGGCCTCTCAGACAAGTATATCGACATCACCTGCCTGCTACGAACCGCCCCATGTACAACCAGGCTGCTTAAGAGGCTGGATGAGCTGATCACCTGGGCCAGAATGAAGTTCAAGCCGCAGAAGTCAAGGAGCCTCTCATTGCGAAAGGGGGAGAGAAATGACAGAGTCACCTTCACCATCAGCGGGGAAGACATCCCCCGCATCGTGGATCAGCCCATCCGAAGCCTGGGAAGACTTTATACATCTGGCCTCTCAGATAAGGATATGGGGAAATTCATCCTTCGGCAGCTGTCAGAAGGCCTGGCCAAGATCAACGCAAACCAGCTACCTGGAAACTACACGATGTGGTGTTATCACTTCATCTTGTACCCAAGGGTGATGTGGCCTCTGAAGCTGTGCGAAGTCACCTCATCAGCAGTAAGCCGGATGGAGGCAAAAGCCAACTCCTTCATCCGCAAATGGCTTGGCCTACCACAGTGCTTTTCAGCTGCTGGTCTATATGGATGGAACTCACTCCAGCTACCCCTGAAATCCATCACCTTGGGCTATAGGCAGGAGAAGGCAAGGCTGGTGATGGAATTAAGGGACTCCTCCGACAGGGCATTGGCTGATGCAAATGCCAGAGTTGAGACTGGAAGGAAATAGAAGGCTAAGGAGGAGTTGCAGAAGGTAATGGGAAGACTGAAACATCAACAAATTGTGGGCATGGTCCAGACAGGGCGGGCAGGCCTTGGATGGAGCGAGCCACCCATCCTATGGTCCAAGGCAAGTAGGAAGGAGAGGAAGGACCTAGTTGTTGCAGAGGTCACCAGGATTGAGCAGGAGGAGCTCAGAGTAAGGTCTGTGGCACAGGGGCAGCAGGGACGGTGGACAACTTGGGAGGGTGTCGCGAGTCGAGCAATCAGCTGGGCAGAGTTCTGGAAACTACCACAGGCTCGGCTCAGTTTCCTCATTAGGGCAACATACGACACCCTCCCGAGCCCTAAAAACCTCCACCAATAGCTTGGAACAGAGCAATCCTGTGACCTCTGCGGGACCATCAATGCCTCACTCCAGCATGTTCTGTCGGGCTGTAAAACAGCACTGACACAGGGTCGGCTCAGATGGCGGCATGACCAAGTGCTCAGGAAGCTGGCAGAGGTGCTGGAGAAAAGTCGGCAGGAGGCAAATAATCAGAGTCCATTAGAGAGTCGATGCAAGATCCACTTCCTCAGGCAGGGGGAACCCGCAATGCATACCAGCAAGAGACCACCCGCCAAGCTATTAACACCAGGGGCGGGGTGGAAGATGGAAGTAGACCTGGGAAGGCAGCTCCAGTTCCCACAGGAGATATGCAGCACCACATTAAGACCAGACGTGGTGCTGTGGTCTGCAGCTGTGAAGTCAGTGATACTGATCGAGCTGACAGTGCCATGGGAGGAGGGACTGGAAGCTGCCTACGAGAGAAAGAAGGCGAAGTATGCAGACTTGGTCGCGGAGTGCAGAGAAAGTGGATGGAGTGTGAGGCTGTACCCGGTGGAGGTGGGAGCCAGAGGCTTTGTGGGCAGATCAATATCATGCCTGCTCAAGGACCTGGGACTACGGGGAGCCACACTGAGCAGATCCACCAAAGAGCTCTCTGAGGAAGCGGAGAAAGCAAGCCACTGGCTCTGGCTGAAACGACGAGACAAGGCTTGGGGAGTAACATCGAATTAGGTTTTGCTGCAGGGGGTGTCAGGGAGACGTCCCTGTTCACTGCCCCGCCACCAGGAGACGTTCTGGGTTAAGGGGCGAAACGTCAATGAGCGGTGGTCCCCAGCTGAAGACCCTGCAGAAAACCACGTGGTATGCGGTCAGGGTTAGGCCTGCCTCAGGGAAGAGGACGCCCCTGCCATGCATAGTCCACCATAGGCACCGTAGGAGGTGCGACAGGCCTAAGGTCCAGCAGAAAGACCACCTCGCTGTAATGAATAATATAATTGTGCATTTTCTTTTATTTTCAGGTCCAGCAGAGGAGACAGGAATTGGAACAGGTACTGGGAATCCGACTCACTTAAGAAGATTCAGACTCCAAATCTACAGTCACCCGAGAAATTGGCTCAACAAATACAATTGAGAATGAAACTTTCTGTTTGAAAACCAGTGGAGGAAGTTCATGTGGCTGTAAAACAGCACTGACACAGGGTCGGCTCAGATGGTGGCATGACCAAGTGCTCGGGAAGTTGGCAGAGGTGCTGGAGAAAAGTCGGCAGGAGGCAAATAATCAGAGTCCATTAGAGAGTCGATCCAAGATCCACTTCCTCAGGCAGGGGGAACCCGCAATGCATACCAGCAAGAGACCACCCGCCAAGCTATTAACACCAGGGGCGGGGTGGAAGATGGAAGTAGACCTGGGAAGGCAGCTCCAGTTCCCACAGGAGATATGCAGCACCACATTAAGACCAGACGTGGTGCTGTGGTCTGCAGCTGTGAAGTCAGTGATACTGATCGAGCTGACAGTGCCATGGGAGGAGGGACTGGAAGCTGCCTACGAGAGAAAGAAGGCGAAGTATGCAGACTTGGTCGCGGAGTGCAGAGAAAGTGGATGGAGTGTGAGGCTGTACCCGGTGGAGGTGGGAGCCAGAGGCTTTGTGGGCAGATCAATATCATGCCTGCTCAAGGACCTGGGACTACGGGGAGCCACACTGAGCAGATCCACCAAAGAGCTCTCTGAGGAAGCGGAGAAAGCAAGCCACTGGCTCTGGCTGAAACGACGAGACAAGGCTTGGGGAGTAACATCGAATTAGGTTTTGCTGCAGGGGGTGTCAGGGAGTCTTGCCGAAGCTTGAAGGAGAGTGTACAGTGCGAGGTGTGCGTACATTGGCTTACTACAGTAATATAGACTCCTCTGTGTGGAGTTTGTATGTAAGGATAAAGCTTGACTGGGAGCTGGTGGAGCTTGGGGGATTCTCTCTGGATCCCCACGAGCTTTACCTTAGCCTGGAAGTTCCACTCTATGCCCCTGGCATGGCCTATGAGGTACAGGAAAGTCCTGAGACCTTAGTCATGAAATAATATGGTTGAATTTCCTGTGTTAAAATTATTACAGTTCATACCAATGTAATGCTTTCCTCTGTCTCTTAGGGCTTGGGACTGCAAGGTCTGTTAGTGAGTGTGCTGGTGAGTTTAGTTCATCTGGAAACAGCAGAAGAACAGACTCGTGTGCAGCGCTGTGTGTTTCCTGTGAGAGAGTTATTGGGTAATTTTTACAAACCACTGTACGCTTAATGGACACTTCATCTATACATACTGTAACTCTATCCAGAAGATAAAACAACAGCTTGTTCTGAAATGCGATTTGCAAACTATATTGAAATTGGCAGCAAACCTGGGACCTGTAGCTGTTGTTGCTTATTTCACATGCAAATATGTTTGACACTAGCTGGGTTTCCATCCAAAGTTGCGAATTTAACTGATGCGCAAAACTGTAATATTGTATAAAACATTTGCAAATAAGCACTGTTTCCATCCAAAGAGTCAAAGAGAACAAAATTGTCACTTTCTCATAAACTGGCAAAATCACTAAGAAAAGTAGGAGAAGCCACTGAATATAATAAGTCTCATTTATAATAAATTACTTGTGCCTCAAAGCAAGCAGATGAAACACAATAAATGCAGTCATTGCTTTTGTGGACACCTGCTGCTTAGAACGCAGTCATGTAAGACAGTTCTGGGAGGCAATTATACAGAAATACTTTGACGGCAGACTTTGCTCAGGCATTTCAAAGTGACCCCAACATTTCAGATGCTGTGCAACAAGATTGGTCCACTGGTTAGTCAGGTTATGCCGACCTATAGCTCAAAGTCACATGATTTTTTTGATGCACGTGGAGGAATTTATTCAGCAAAAGCATTTCCATCTCCAATTATTATGTCAAAAACCACCTCAAGCGAGCGTATTCACTTTTTTTGCGAATTAAGGGATTTTCTTTTGAATTTGGCATTTCCATCACTCGTTTCCTATGCAATACATCAAAATGTGCATAAAAACAAGGTGATGGAAACATAGCTCTTCATATTCAGTGTGTCTGCTTAATTTTTAACAGTACAAAAATGCAGAAAGGCTAAGGTAATTTTGAGGTCATTGAACACAATGACTGTTTATAGTGCAGTAAGCATTGTAATGTATCTTGGAGGAACTGGTTTCCTCTTTTTGCTTTGTTTCTTCTATGTACAGTGTGTCTGCCTGATGGAAGAATGGTGGTGGTGGTCAACACAGCTGGTGTTTTACCTGTCCCCCAGTAAACCCCAATCACACAGCTCTGTCGGATCCTGCCTGTAAACCACTGGAGACTGACAATAGGGCCTTTCGCACCGCTTTAGTTCCAGAACTAAATGGACAGTACTAAAGTACTGGGACGATTTTGCGCGAACTATTTCCCAGTACCATTTAAAGGGTTGCATTCGCACCGACAGTGTGTACTAGGAACCGGTCGACAGCGACATCATTTGTGCGCGGCGTTCAACAACGAAAACAAAGAAAAACAACATTAACAACAGGAGGATGGAGGATGCTGTGATCGGAGCTGTGTTTTTGTTGTGTCTCGCGGGTTTCACGATAATTGACATGTAATGTCGACGTATACGTAAAGCGATTGAAAGAACGGAAAGGAGGACTAAGAATCTCCAACGACAACTGGCAGTGCTACATTTGCTACAAGTGCCTGCACTTCAGCGTCCGTCCATCTATCGCTGTTCTCCATACTTGCGAAATAAGTTGACACAATGTTTACAGTATGTTTACACAGCGTTTTAAATCATGGCGGGTGAGGGCGTTTTCGTACGCGTTTGGCCAATCAATGTCTACTTGCGTCACGATTAGTACCAGTTGTGCTGGTTAGACCCTGCTCCGGAGTAGGAGCTAATTTGGTTCTCGAAAAAGGCAGTCTTTTTCTAAAATCGCTCCCAGTTCCGGCGGTGCGAAAATGCCAAAAAGTGGGTAGTTCCACAATTAGTTCTGGTACTATGAAAAGGTTCCTGCGGTGCGAAAGGCCCTAATGTCATTAAACTAATTGGACCTGATTGTAAAGTGTTACCAATGCAGACCTGCCAACCTTGGACATTTTTTTGGAGTAACCCTAACCTTTTCTGTCAGAGCATCTGACGGGGCGAGCGTGAGCCGCTTTGAACCGAAACGATAAACTATAGGCTACTAGGAGAGAAATAAAACGCAGAAATTTAAATGCAAAAACAC